ACCCCCCCCCCCCCCCCCCCCAGGGCGATGCTACTAATTGAAGTGGTCTTAAGCCTTTCCCAAAGGGGGGACGTTAACATGTTCTTATGCTCTGTAGAATTGTAAATGGGCTGGTTCATCAATGTCATGCTCATAACTATGCCTGAACTGTAATGGGGAACTGTTGCTTTTTCTTTCCTGATCCTTACTATCATCATTTTACTTCTACTTCTTTTGTATGTTTGTCACACTTTTGTGACCCGCTATTTCCAGGGTGCCTTGATAGTCGAAGCAGACTGTGCTGTTGAGGCTAGAGAGGTGAGCAGAGTAAGCCTGATTCCCTGTAAGGACTTCTCTGTTGACATCCACCCTTGGCGCTGATATGACCTTATGCAGTTGCGAGCGCCGTAGAACCTTACTAAAATTAACTAAAATACATCTATCATTCTTATCTCTCCTCCTTTTTTGTGTTGGTTACTCTCTTATAACACCTCTATTCTTCAGCACTTTTATTACCTTATTGTGCTGCAAGTGCTGTCAAACTGTAACGAAATGGCATGGCATGTTGCTGTAATGCTGTAAAGCCTGTGTACATTAATCGGGGTTGAGCACAATATAAATGTCATTTATTATTATTATTATTAATGCTTGGACTGCTTCCTGTCGCCAGCGGACGAGAGCATGCGGAGATATGTGAGCCAGGTCCTGGTCAAACTTGTGCACTGTCAGACTTGGCCTCACGACTTCTGCACCATCGTCGGCAAGTCTTCTGCGGAGCTGTGCTCGGGGGTTCGAGAGTATTTGAAGTTTTGGCTCCAGCGACCTGAAGTGAGTGTTTGTTTCCGTTTAGATGTGGGTTTTTTTGTCAGTTGTGCCGCGCCGTGCTTTGTTTATTTTAAAAAACTGTTTCCCCTTCCAGATAGAGCTAGCATTAAGTCTTTTTCTTTTTTTTCTTTTCTTTCTCTATCTAGATATGGCTGGCACATGCAGTCGGACTTGTAGCCAGTGATTTTGTCAGCTGACATGGAACAATTAGTCTTTTTAAATTGGGGGGGGGGGGGATGACTTCTTTGGTGTCAGTAGTGTTATCGGGATAAATATTAACCCTATGCGTACGTGTTTTACAATCGTATCCATACGACGTCGGGAACTCTGTGCCACCACTTTCCAAAGAGGAAATTTACTCGTTAGTCTAATCCATATGCTTTGCATGGCAGTCTGTCAAAATGAATTTTTGAAAAATACTGAAAGTTTCAAAGAGATCTTCGTACTAGAAGTATTCTAAAATGTGAAGAATACAACCCTGGGGGTACAAAATGACCCCAGACTCAGAGAGGACGGATAGGGTTAATCTTTGCGTATATGCTCCCTCTGAAAAAATAACACTCAACGCACACATGCCCACACACATACACACACACACACACAAACACACTACAAAAACAGTGTTTTTAGAGTCTCAAATGGAAGTCTTTACTGCAGTTTAAAAAATATATGACTCCTGACTATTTTCAGATGCAGAAAAACCGAGAAGAATCAGTCGTGTCCTCCCCTATGCCCAAGAAGTTGTTTCCTCACATCGAGCAGTGTGCCACGTTGATGGACAAGTTCTCCTCTGCCCTTATGACAACACACTTCAACGTGTCGTTGACGTCACAGGATGTGTCAGCTCTCAGTGACGCGTGTCACGATCACATCGCGTCGTTGGCGGCGGACGACAGGCTCACGGCACTCGGCCAGACTCTGATGTACATGCATCAGCTGTTTGTGTCGGAGAGACAGGTGGGGAGACGATCGTTTGACCGGAAATGTCAGATGAGATAGGATCATAAGATAAGATAGGATCATAAGATAAGATAGAATAAGATAAGATAATTAATACTCAGCTGTTTGAGTCGGGGGGAGAGGTAGGCTGTCGCTTGTTTGACCAGTAATGTCAGATAAGATAGGATCAGAAGATAAGATAGGATAATATAAGATAAGAGTATAATTGTTTGTGTGTGGATGAGAGGTGTGTAGACGATCATTTGACCAGTAATGGGAAATAAGATCTGGTCATAAGATAAGTTAGGATTAGATAATACTTAATTGTTTGTGTGGGGGAGACAGGTAGGAACACGATGGTTTAACCAATAACATACATGAAATAAGATAGGATAAGATTAGATGACACTTAATTGTTTGTGTCGGAGAGAGAGGTAGCAAGTCGCTTGTTTGACCAGTAATGTGTGATGAGACAGGATCATAAGATAATACTTTATTTTCCCTGCGGGAAATAATCCATGGCTTAACAGGAATGGTAAAAGCACATAGACATCAGCTATTTCTGTTTGAGAGAGGGGTAGGAAGTCGCTTGTTAGACCAGTAACTTTCATGAGATAAGATAGGATAAGATCATATGATAATACTTAATTGTGTGTGTGGGGGAGAGATAGCAAGTCGCTTGTTTGACTGACCAGTAACATACGTGAGATAAGATAGGATAAGATAAGATAATACTTAATTGTTTGTGTGGGAGAGAGAGGTAGGAAGACGATCGTTTGACCAGTAACATACGTGAGATAAGATAGGATAAGATAAGATGATACTTAATTGTTTCTGTCGGGGAGAGAGGTAGCAAGTCGCTTGTTTGACCAGTAATGGGAGATAAGATAGGATAAGATTAGATGATACTTACTTATTTGTCCCTGTTGGAAATATTCTGTTGCTTTACAGGAGTGGTTATACACACGTATAGATATAGATGAAATACATGAAACAGGGAGAGATTCCTGCTATGGTGCTCATCTGTCATATGAAATACCTGGTTTTGTTTCTAGTCTCTATATTTGGGTAATGGTAAAAATCTAGAGACAGACATCTGAAAAAAAGTTGCATCATAGTTGTTGTATTTTCTTTTTGAAAATGCGAAGTTTAGTGTTTGTGATTTGAGTTTGGCGTCTGTCTCCTCAGGGATGTGTGGAACTGATGCAAGCCTACTGCACACTGGCAGAAGCTTTGTACAAATCGATCGCGACCTTGCCCCAGGAGCATGAAACAGCCAGCCAATCAGAAAAGGGGGAGTCTCTGTCCTCCACCGACAGCCGAGCCCCGCGGGATGGGGAAGTAGGTCAACAGGTGTGTGCGGCCGGTCAGATCCTGCTACACCCGGTCCTGGGTACAGCGTTCCTGAATGAGGTCGTTCGTAAATCTCCAGGAAAGGGCAAAGAAGGGTCGCCATCAGCGCCGACAAGTGAACTGTGCTGCGTTCTGTCCCAGTTCTTGGGGAGAGTGTTTGTTCAGAGCAAGAATATCTCGTGTGACGTCATCCCGGAGGTTTACGACAAGTACTTGATGGAGGTGGTGAGAATCTGCCGTCAAGGTTTTGCCTCGGTCCCCACATCAGCTCAATCCACCATCTTGGAGATATTGAAGGTGATCGGGTCGGACATGGGCTCCCCGTCGTGCTCCCAGGCGTTCTGGTTGATGTGTGAGTGCGAGGTGACCCAGTTGCTGACCACTGCCGGTGGGAAGTCGGAGGCTGGCCCCAAGAAGTCGTCTCCCTTGTCCCCGCTAGGCAGAGTGTTTGTGGGGTTGCTGTCTGTGTGGATGGATCATCTGGCGGGGCCCGGCCGGCTCTCAGAGTCTGTGTTGTTTCAGTGCGACCAATCCCCGAACAACGGCGGAGCTGTCCTCAATGGCAACTTTCAGAGTCAGAGAGATGTGCGAAAGTTTCGGCAGTTTTTTGCTCTGCACGGCAAAAATTGTAACTTTGATGTCGCAAAATTTTCTGTGGTTTTTCAACTCCTGAATCGCTGCCAGGATAAAGAACTGGAGGAAGTGAGTCTTCGTCTTCTCCAGACTGTTCCAGAATGCATCGAGACCTGTACCGACGCCTTCCTCCGTTCGTTCCAGCGCGTTCACCTCCTGAACGGAACACGCCAGAAGATGTTAGCGATCTTGATCCAGAGCCGGCCGGACGTCTGTGACTGGTGCAGTAAGCTCGTCGCGGAGAAAGGGAAGACGGTTTCCTCGCAGAACCTGTGGTGGCTGGCAAGTAGCTGTCTACAAGCTCCTGGCGACTTCTTGTGTGAGTCGAGGCAGTTAGTTTTGCTTGTCGCTACCTGAGAATGACAAAGTTTTATCTGCTCAGTACCTAGTTTGGAAAAATTTGACATGAAAAATTTTCAGTTTCCCAACATGTCAAGCTTTTTTTAATGTGTTTCTTTGAATATTTCGATACAGACTTTGAACAGTCGTATGATTATGAGAGAACAGATAGAACATTTGGTTTCTGACCTCATGGTCTTAGCAACTAAATAACTCAAAATAGCCAAATATGTCAGATCGAACTTTGTAATTTTAAGATCGTGGTTTTCCTAGCAGTTTAGAACACCTTTTTTCCTATAGATGTTTGAGTCAACCGCAAGCTTTGGTGCACAAGGTAATATGTAGTTTAAGAAGTGGGTGGTTAGCGGGTGCTCTGGTGTGGTTTGCTCCTTCTTTCCTATGAAAAATCTTTGTGTCGCAAGTGCTGTAAAACTCTTACTGAAACTAAAAGATAAACCTAGAGCTTCTCTCATGTTGTGTCTTCATTAACACCTTCGGGACGACCGACGTACTTACACGCGGACTGTGCCCGACAGAATCGGATCACCGACGTGTATTGTATTTACACGATGACAATACCACACATTCAAGCCAGTCCAGGTTTATTGAAAATTATCCATGTTTTCTGACTGCTTGTTCAAGCACCAAAGAGTTCTTTCCCTTTCGAATTCACCGAAGTTGAAGCCAGTTTGAGTTGATTAGAAGTTTTAAAAAATGTCTTCGAAACGAGTACATGTATCATACAAGGGATATGGGCACCGACTCCGGTCCTGGGGATAAGATCGGCTGGTGTGGGGCCCGTCCCCAAGCTGTTAACACTTTACCGTCATATCTCGTAGATCGGCGATGTTTACCACCCAGTTTCTTTGGAATTCCCCCAAAATGCCTTTGCCTTTGATGGCCAGAGTTTTTACTGTATGACCCTTGTGATGGCAAGAGTTTTTACTATATGATCATATACTAGATCTATATGAGCCTTGTGATGGCAAAGTGTTAATGGACCTATTTTTTCCTCCACAGCCGAGGCAGAGAACACGGGTATGCTGAGGGCACTGGAGAGCGTTGTCACGGGCAACGTGGAGAGAGTGTTGCTGGCAGCTGACCCGGAGGCCTTGACCTGTGTCAATCTGTTGATACAACGCTCCGGCAGGGGAGGTCAGTCGATTTTTTTATTTAAGCCCTCCCCCCCGGCAGTGCTACAGACTGAAGTGTCTTTAGGCCAATCCCAAAGGGGGGACATTAACATGTTGTTATGCTTAGTAGAATTGTAAATGGGCTGATTCATCAATGTCATGCTCATAACTGTGCAGGAACAACATAAGGGGAACTTCTCCTTTTTCTTTCCTCTTTGCTATCGTCATTTTCCCTCTACTTCTTTTGTATTTTTGTCACTCTCTTGTGAACTGCTATTTCCAGGGTGCCTTGATAGTCGAAGCAGACTTTGTGGTGTTGAGGCAAGAGAGGTGAACAGAGTAAGCCTGATTTCCCGTTTAGACCTCTCTGTTGACATCCACCCCTTGGTGCTCATGTGACCTTATGCAGTTGCGAGCGCCGTAAAACCTTACTAAAGTTAAACTGAGTTGCAGTGAATTGCTCAGAAGTCACACAACCTTGATTAATATACTGAAACTGATATTGTTCTGTTCTGTGATTTCTAAGCTGAGTTAAAATTGACAATTTTGGCTAGTCGTGGTGTCTTTTAGACATTACTCTGTACCTGTTTTTTTACTGTAAAATTATGTACTTCATGTCTGTTAGTTCATCGGGTAATGAGTCAGTGAAGAATTGAGGTTTCTTTAACCCTATCCGTACGCCGTGGGGTCATTTTGTACCCCCAGGGTTGTATGCTTCACATTTTAGAATACTTCTAGTACGAAGATCTCTTTGAAACTTTCAGTATTTTTCAAAAAATCATTTTGACAGATTACTATGCAAAGCGTACGGATCGGATCAGCGAATAAATTTCTTCTTTGGAAAGTGGTTGCACAGAGTTCCCCACGTCGTATGGATACGATAGTAAAACACGACGTACTGATAGGGTTAAGTGGTGGCACAGAGTTCCCCACGTCGTATGGATACGATAGTAAAACACGACGTACTGATGGGGTTAAGTTTCTGTGATTAGAGTTTTAGACAAGAGGAGTGACAGTCAAATGGAAAGAATACATTAGCTACCAGCATTTAGTTCTGAGACCTTTGCACAGTATAGTGGTACAGATAATAATGCAGCTCTGATGGTCATTATAAAGAAGATCCACAGATGAAACGTAGAATTGCAACAACACAATCGTTTATAAATATTGTTGTAGTTTTGTTTTCCTAAGAGTTTTGTCTTGCCAAGATCTTTGTATCCACAGGGGAGGAGGAAACAAAACAAGCCTTATATTGGTACCAAAAAAAGCTTAATACTGATTGAACTGTTACATTTTATTTTGCTCCATTTTTATTTTAAAATCTCTTTCAAATTTTTGCTTTCCATTTCAGTGGACATTTTACGTGAGTTTACGTCCCAGTTCACGTTGCACCCGGAGAAAGCGACAAAGCTGCACTTTGACGTTCTCAGATCGGGCTTGTGCATTCCGCGAAGGGAGACGAATGAGGGGTTGAAGGGTCTGCCACAAAGAAGTGATTCTGATGATGTCGGTGATGTCCGTCGTATCAGTGACGTCAGCGGAGGCAGGCGACAGGCGGAAGAAGCTGTCGCTGTCCTGGAAGCATGTTTGCGACAGCTGATGTGTCTGCTGGGAGCAAAGTCGGCGCGGGACTCGGGCCTGGAGGGACACGTCCTCACATTGGCTCTAGACCTGGTGAGTGGGCAGAGCTTCCTAGACAACCCCCCCCCCCGGGCGGTGCTACTGACTGAGGTGTCTTTAGGCCATTCCCAAAAGGGGGACATTAACATGTTCTTATGTACAGTAGAATTGTAAATGGGCGGATTTATCAATGACATGCTCATACTTTTCCGGAACAACATAGGGGGAGCTGCTGCATTTTATTTCTAATCCTTACTATCGTCATTTTTCCTTTACTTCTTTCGTATGTTTGTCGCTCTCTTGTGAACTGCTATTTCCGAGGTGCCTTAATAATCGAAGCAGACTTTGTGCCAACTTAAACTGAAATGAGTTCATCAAAAAAGTCCTTGAGAAGATTTTTTATTTGTAGGCAGTTTTCTTTTCCCCCCTTTATTTTCTGAACACCTTTTGATGTCTCTCTATCTGTTCATCTGTTCCAGCTCTGTGAGTTTCCTGCCAGAACATTGGACATTTTGCCGTCAATGTGGGAGACGTTCGTGAAGTCGTCTCTGAGGTGAGTCCCGGGAAAAGTGGCTGGTGGACTTCTTTTACGGTGTCTTCAGAATGTTTGTAAAAAAGCCCCGAAACCTGCGGGGGGGGGGGGGATGATGGCTGGTCTGATTGTACAGGTGATGTTTTGTACAGGTGGCCTTTAGAACAGGTTGGATTGTGTATACGGATGGGGTAAGTTGTTGACCAAAAAAAATGGAATATTCCACTTTTTTTTCTGACGTCTTTGAGTTTTGATGCAGAATTTTATCAAACTCTTGAGCTCTTTGACAGGAAAGATCTGTGGCCAAAGATTTTTTTTGTATGTGATGTAGTATTTAATTGAACTTTCTCTGCTGGTAAATTTCGTTGTACATGCAATGTTTCAGTGAGGTTCACTTATTAATAGGATATGGATTATGATATAATGGAATTGTGATTTAGTTTTCGTTTTATGACCCAGTTCTTCATGAAACTGTGTGGTTGTGTGGCTGTGTCTCGCAGGTCGTTGTACACCAACTGGAAACTGTTGAGGCTTCTGTCAGAACTTGTCCCGGCGGTGTACGCGTCTGGCGTCGACCGGAAGCCTCTCGGCGGAGAAGGTAAAGTCCTAGCGGCTCACACCATGTTCCAGATGTGCATCTCCCACACGGCGTTCCTCGACACCTTGCTGTCGGCACACAGTGGTGCTGCTAAAGGTAGTCCTTTTTTGTCTTTTTTTTTTTTCTTTCTTTTTAAGAATTATTTTAATGTTTCCTTATAGTCCTCAAGACAGAATTAACCCCATGTGGGAACCCCATTGCAGACACTGTGACTGCCACGAGGAGACCGTTGAACATCTTCTCCTTCTCTGCCCTAACCTGGCAGTTCTTCGAAGCAGGCTCCTACACACACCTACAGACTTACAAAAATTTTGGCGGCTCAAAAAACACATTTTAAAACTTCACAGAGGTTCATCAACTATTTAGCTGTCATATAGAGTGACTTCCTTTGGTATTTCCTTCAGTGCAGTGTGTCTGTTCGTTGTTTAATTATGTTTAGTGAGCCTGGTCGCGTCGGCGACTGAAGTAGTCAGTGGTAGTGAGCGCATACCGTGGCCTGATTTCCTGTGAAACATCTATTGTCTTTATCTGTCCTCCTTTTTTGTGTTTGTTATTCTCTTGGGACACCTCTAATCTTCAGCACTTACATGACCTTATTGTGTTGCAAGTGCCTTAAAATTCTTACTAAAACTGAAAATACTGTGGCCTGGCAACTAAAGTCAGCAACGGTACTGTAAGTGATTATGTCCTGTTTTTTTCATTCCTCCCTCCTCCACAAGATGAACTTAAGTCACTGACGGTACTGTAAGTGTTTTATGTCTACTGTAAATGTTCATGTCCTGTGTTTTTATCGCTCCTTCCCTCCCCAGATGAGCTTGTGAACCTCCTCCACGCGCTGTGCGAGGTCGAGCCGTCGTGTTGCCAGACGAACCTGACCAACGTCCTCACCGCGGCCTACACCGCCACTCTGTCACTCACAGGTGCTGAATGATCATAGCAATCATTAGAGTAATAATAAAAAAAACAATAATGATGAAGATAATGGTTGCATTTATATAGCGCACATATTCATGCTCAACAGCATTAAGTTAACAGGTGCAGAATGATGATAGAAATCATTATTGTAATAATTTTAAAAAACCATAATGATGATGATGATGATAATGATTGCATTTATATAGGGCATATATCCTTGCTCAACAGCATGCTCTGTGGTAGTAATGATTCGGCCTCTGGATCAGAAAAGTAAAGTGGTAGTAGTAATGATTCGGCCTCTGGATCAGAAAAGTAAAGTGATAGTAATAATGATTCGGCCTCTGGATCAGAAAAGTAAAGTGATAGTAATAATGGTTCGGCTGCTGGATCAGAAAAGTAAAGTGATAGTAATAATGATTCAGCCGCTGGATCAGAAAAGTAAAGTGGTAGTAGTAATGATTCGGCCTCTGGATCAGAAAAGTAAAGTGATAGTAATAATGGTTTGGCCGCTGGATCAGAAAAGTAAAGTGATAGTAATAATGATTCGGCCTCTGGATCAGAAAAGTAAAGTGGTAGTAGTAATGGTTCGGCCGCTGGATCAGAAAAGTAAAGTGATAGTAATAATGATTCAGCCGCTGGATCAGAAAAGTAAAGTGGTTGTAGTAATGATTCGGCCTCTGGATCGGAAAAGTAAAGTGATAGTTATAATGCACAACGGCATGCTTCATGTAAGTAATAAAATAATAATAACAATAATGATGATAATGATTGCATTTATACAGCGCATATATATTTTTAAATATTTTTTTATTGCAACTTTTTCCATCTGGTGTCATTGCGTGTGCTGGGGAAATAGTTTGTAGAAATTCAAAACTGAAAATGTTGAAAAAAGTCAGAACAGATAGATAATTTTGGTACCATTTTTGAAAGAATGAATCAGTTGGGTTTTTTTCCCTTCTCCTTGAACATTTTTTTTTCTGGACCTAGATCTAGGACATTTGAACAGCTTGCTGACGCTATGTTGTTTGGGTTTGTTTAACCCTATCCGTACACTCTGGGGTCATTTAGTACCCCCGGGGTTGTATTCTCCACATTTTAGAATACTTCTAGTACTCAGATCTCTTTGAAACTTTCAGTATTTCTCAAAAAATCATTTTGACAGACTGCTATGCGAAGCGTACGGATCGGATTAACGAGTAAATTTCTGCTTTGGAAAGTGGTGGCACAGGGCTCCCCATGTCGTGTGGATACAATAGTAAAACACGACGAACGGATAGGGTTAATGTTTGTTTTTTGTTTCCTTTATCTCCCCAGATCAGCGGCTGCTGCAGATGTTGGAGAAATTTTTCAAGGCCAAAGGTTCTTCCTTTGAGTGGTGAGGACTATTTGGCTTTCTTCTTGAAAAAGAATGTGATAATGGAAAGTAATTTGGGAAGAAAAACACGAGCTGTAATTAGGATGTTTTGTGCTGTAATGGGATGTACAATGCTCATGTACACATACACACTCACGTACACATACATACACACACATACATACACACACATACATACACACACATACATACACACACATACATACACACACATACACACACACACATACATACACACACACACACATAGACACACATACACACACACACATACATACACACACACACACATAGACACACACATGCACACATATACACACATACACACACATGCACACATATACACACACACACATACACACACAATAATTAGGAGATTACATGTGAGTCACATAATACACACTCATACACGCAGACACACAATAACTAGGAGATTACATATGAGTCACATAATACATGATCTACCAGGAAGACTGATCATATTTCATGCACAACCTCTTGTGACACCTCTAATCTCCGCCACTTGTATGACCTAATTGTGTTGCAGATGCCATAAAACTCTTACTGAAACATAAAACAAAAACAAAATTTAGTTCCTCGTTTTCTCTCATCGAATGACTATAATGTATCCGTTTATGTATTTTGCGAATTGCATTGTGTATATTATTTTGTATTTGTATGGGCTCATTTCGTAAGGATGTGTAAGCGTGTGGGTGTGATAAACGAGTAGATGTGTGTGTGGTGTGCATATGTATGTGCGTGTAATGTGTGCGTGAGTGTGTGTGTTTGTGCATGTGTGTGAGAGAGAGAGAATATTGTTCGTATATGCATTTATGTAAAGCACCTAGAGCTGTGTTCACACGGGAGTGGGCGCTATAGAAATGGTCTACACTATTAATATTATTATTATTATTATTATTATTATTATTATTATTATTATCAGTATTATTATTATCATTATTATTATTGTTATTATCATTATTATTTTCATTCTTATTCTTATCATCATCACCATCAGCCCAAACCTGTGGGGCAAAGCGGCCTTGGAACACCGCAGCGTGTCAGACTTACTGGGCCCCAGCTTAGACCGTCAGGTGACTGTGAAGAGTGTTCTGGAGCAGCTTGATCCTGCCACCATGCGGAAGTCGCTGCTGTGTTTCCCTGTGCTCCGATCCCAGCAGATGGTGAGTGGGGCCATCTCTCTGTCTCTGTCTCTCTCTTTTTCTCTCTCTCTCTCTCTCTCTCTCTCTCTCTCTCTCTCTCTCTCTCTCTCTCGTCTTGGTTTGTCGGTCCATAGACTGACATCCCTCTGCAGTAGCTGACAGGAGCACCATCTTGCCGGCTCGTCGTTCGCTCCCAAGTGGGGTGATGGTTTGGCGGGCGCTTTGCTGCCGTAGATGTACAGAGTTCTGTCTGCTTAGTCGTACCTAGTTATGAGAAATTAGACGTACATAAACAATTTTGAGTTTCACAACGACATGTCAAGCTTTATCGAATGAAATTCTTTGAATATCTCTTGATAAGAACTCTGAATAATCTTACGGCTTTGATAGAACAGATAGAACATAATTCAGTGTCTGACCTCATGGTCTTAGTAACTGTAAACACCTGTCCGGTGTGCAATGACGTTGTTGCCCAGGACAGGTAATACAGTAACTTTAAATGGTCAAAAATGTCCGATAGAACTTTGAAATTCCAAGGTAGCAACTTTTTATTCTATTTGATTTGTTGCTGAACTTGAAAAAAACTCAACCAAAGTTTGGTGACTTTTGAAGCTGAATACTCGAACTTATTATTTTTTAAACTTATTTATTTAATTTATTCTTATTTTAAAAAATTTATTTTAATCGATTTATATTTAGCTGAAAGTTGTATCTATTGAGCTGTTTTGTTCCTGATGTGACTTTTGATTGAGCCGTAGCATCTGTTACTGTTACAGGCCGGCGGAGCTGTGGTGGAGGCGAGGGCGATGAAGTCGCGACCCGAGGCCTACGACCCCAGGTTCCTGCTGCAGCTGTTCAATCAGATTCTCTCAGAGGGTAAACTCTTGTCTCCAACCCCCCCCCCCCCCCCCCACACACACACACGGGCAGTGCTACTGACTGAAGTGTCTTTAGGCCATTCCTAAATGGTCGGGATATTAACATATTAACATGCTTTTGTGCTGTTGAGGCTAGAGAGGTGAGCAGAGTAAGTCTGATTCCCTGTAAAGACTTCTCTGTTGACACCCACCCCTTGGCACTCATATGACCGTATGCAGTTGCGAGCGCTGTAAAACCTCTACTAAATAATAATAATAATATTTCCCATCTCTCCCTGCCCTTGTGGGTGTCCGCGGTGCAGCAGTAAGGCACGTTGATGTAGCACGCTAGAGACCTGAGTTCAATTCCCGAGTGGGGCAAAATTGTTATTGAGTACCTCAGCCTTTTTGCCGGGATGTTGTATCTCTCTCAGCCTAGGTTTAGGTTGGCGGGTGCTCTGGTGTTGTTTGTTTCTTCTTTCCTATCAAACGTCTATCGTCCTTATCTCTCCTCCTTCTTTCCTATCTAACGTCTATCGTCCTTATCTCTCCTCCTTCTTTCCTATCTAACGTCTATCGTCCTTGTCTCTCTTTTTTTTTGTGTTTGTTACTCTCTTGTAACACCTCTAATCTTCGGCACTTATATGACCTTTTTGTGTTGCAAGTGCCGTAAAACACTTACTAAAACTAAAGTCTCAGCCTAGGTTTGCCCTGCCAGGCAGGGTGAGAAGCCCACCTCCTAAATAACCTCCTGTGTCACTGGGGGCGTTAATACAAAGTACATACTTTGTGGCGTCAGTGGTCTAGTGGTTAGGCTACCGGATTCGTAATCATGAGGTTGCAGGTTCGGGGGTTCGAGGCGCGGGCCCGACGTTGTGTCCTTGGGAAAGACTCTTTACATGAAATTTTACCACTATACCCAAGTGGGAATGGGTACCCGACTATAGACAGTGAAAGATCTTGTCAGTTTGTTAGTGTTTGAGTGCTTAACCAGCTGCTTGCACTGTATGCTTCCCGGGAAGCTGAGAATGTTTCTGAGTGTTCTATGGTCAGCTGGGGTAATAATATAGTGTAAAACGCACAGACCTTGCTGGCGAGGTGGGATTTTTGCTATAAAAATGCTATTTATTATTATTTTTATTATTATTATATATCAAAAACCAATGTTTATTTCCCTGCCCATGACTTCCTCAGACAAGCTGGTGCCGGTGCGTCTGTTTGTGGAGAGAGACTGCTTGAGTTACCTCCTCGTGGCACTCTCCAGCCATGACCTTACGACCCGCCTCCTGGCCTACAAGGCGCTCAACGACTTCTACCGCCACGCGGACGGGTCACGCTGCCACGAGAGGCTGGAGCTCACCTTTTTCCTTGACCTCCTCAACGCCAGTCGTTCCAAGAGCGGCCAGAAGCTTAGCTCGGTGATCGCACTGTTCTTTGCCAGGGTCGTCAAGCTTTTCTTGTATCCCGGTACGTACGTTTGTCCATGTTCTTCTTGGTCTTTAGTTTTTTTTTAGTTTTAGGTGGTTGGCGGGTGCTCTGCTGGTGTGGTTTGCTCCTTCTTTCCTATCAAACGTCTATCGTCTTTTTCTTTCTTCCCTCCTTCTTTTTTGTGTTTGTTGCTCCCTTGTAACACCTCTAGTCTTTGGCACTTATGTGACCTTATTGTGGTACAAGTGCTGTGAAACTTACGAAAAGAAAAAAAAAGACTTTTACTGTGCTTGCAACACAAATAGGTGATATAAGTGTTGGAGATTAGAGATGTTACTAAAGGGTAACAATGAAATAAAAAGAAATGAAGGAGAGATAATGATGATAGATGTTTGGGAGGAAGTACAATATTCTTTATACGTATGTTTATGTGTTTCAGTTTGTATGCGTTTCTGTACTTATGTGTGTTTGCCATTGTACCGGTAACCCAAATTTTACCTCAGGGATCAATAAAGTGTCAATTATTTATGTGTCATTTATGTATGTGTGTCATTTGTGTATGTGTCATTTTTTCATGTGTCATTTATATATGTGTCATTTATATCTGTCATTTCATTATGTGTCATTTCTATATGTGTGTCATTTCTTTCTGCGTGACCAGCTGACCCAGTCTATATGGCCGTCTTCCGGTTCCTGATGGCCAGACCTGAGCTGGACCTGAGCAGTGTCCCAGAATTCTACCAGCTGTTCTTCAGCGCGAATCAGCAGGTGCGGGGCCGATTGTGTTCCTGGGTGGTTGGCGGGTGCTCTGGTGTGGTTTTCTCCTTCGTTCCTATCAAACATCTCTCTCGTCCTTATCTCTTCTTCTTTTTTGTGTATGTTACTCTCTCTTGTAACACATCTGTTCTTCGGCTCTTACACGACCTTATTGTTTTGCAAGTGCCGTAAAACTCTTACGGAACTAAAAAGATTGTGTTCTTGCGTGATGCTTCGTGGCTTGATTGTCTGTTCCCACGGGAGAGTTTGGTGAAAAATCTAAATTTGAGGGACTGCCAGATTGTCCTTGCTTTAATAGGGATTTCGGTTTACAGAGGTCGCTCAAATAAAAGGGGAAAAAAATCTGGGATATTATTTTCCCCGAGGTTTACTCCAGTTTTCTGGTTGACTGTGCTTGGTTGAAGTAAACTCCACTGTTTGCACAGAAAGGGAGAACGATGATTTGTAGTGGATGTACCTTCTATGGTAGAAAACATTTTACTTTGAACGAACTCTTCGAGGCGGATTTTTATGAAAGGAATTTCCCGTCTGAGAACTCTTAATATTTGTGCTGAGGTACTTTTTCAAGAAAAGACTCTATGACTTTGAAAAACTGGAAAATGCCGTAAAGCAATCTGCATCTGTCATTGATTGTGTATGAAGACGTGAGTATATTATGATAATGATAAGGTAATAGTTGTTCCTTCAGAAACTGAGGGTGACTTTTGAACATCCAAGGAGGAAGAGAAGTTGACTTGCCCTAGTTTCAGGTATCCAGATTTCCCCCACCCCCTCTCCCTGTCACTCATTCACGTTGTGTACGTGTCACGTTTGTGCCCCCAGCTCAAGTCGGAGCGCCAGTGGATTCTCTCCCTTCTCGGCGACGGCATGCGGGAGACGTCCGACTACAGGATGCTCCAGAAACATTTCATCTTCAAGGTCATCATGTCATTCTACGACTCAGTGCTCAGCGACCACACCTCCAGGGTAAGGATGTCTTACTGGAGTTGATAAATTATTATGACGGGTTTTTTCCTTTTTTCACGTCTTTAGAGCTTGGGTGGGCTAAATCATCTGGTAGAGGGTGGTTGGTGGGTGCTCTGGTGTGATTTGCTCCTTCTTTCCTATCACTCATCTATCGTCCTTTTCTCTCTTTTTTTTCCATGTTACTCTCTAGATCTAGAACCACCTCTAATCTTCAGCGCTTTTATGCCCTAATTGTGTCATATGTAGTCGATCGTACTAGACAAACTCGACACTTCCTCCTGACTTGTTTTTTGGCCGGTGTTCTGCTGTGGTTTGCTCCTTCTTTCCTATGGAACATCTATCGTCCTGATCTCTCCTCCTTCTTTCCTATGGAACATCTATCGTCCTGATCTCTCCTCCTTCTTTCCTATTGAACATCTATCGTCCTGATCTCTCCTCCTTTTTTGTGTTTGTTACTCTCTTGTAACACCTCTAATCTTCGGCACTTATATGACCTAATTATGTTGCAAGTGCCGTAAAACTCTTTCTAAATAAAACCTGACTTATGTTTCTCTGGGTGGGTGGTTGCCGGGTGCTCTGGTGTGGTTTTCTCCTTCTTCCCTATCAAACATCTATCGTCCTTATCTCCCCTACTTCTTTTTTGTGTATGATACTCTCTTGTAACACCTCTAATCTTCGGCACTTATATGACCTTACTGTGTTGCAAGTGCCGTAAAACTCTTACGAAAAAAAATAATAATCTCCCCTCCCTCTTTTTTGTGTTTGTTACTCTCTTGTAACATATGGTCTATTCTTCGGCACTTATTTATACAACCTTATTGTGTTGCAAGTGCTGTAAAACTCTTACTAAAACTAAAAACTGTTGCTGTGTCCGTCCGCAGAGGCTGGTCCTAGCGGTGGTGGAGAACGCCTGTCGGCTCAAGTCTGTCGCTGTCGACCTGGTCAAGAACCACGGCCTGCTCCTCTGGCTCTCTGCCCTCGCTTCTACTCTGTGAGTCACTCGTTGTGTGTGTGTGTTTGTGATTGTGTGTGTGTGTGTGAGTGTGTGTATGTCTGTGTGTGTGTGTATGTGTGTGTGAGTGTGAGAGCTGTGTGTGTGTGTTGTTATTGTTGTTGTTGTTAAATGGTCTCACAATGTGCATTTTCAGTCTTTTGATTTGTCAGCTCAATGAGTGATGATTCTGCCTTGTTTAGTGCTTGAAGCCTTCTAGTGACTCGGTGCTATATATAAGTTCCTATTCTCTCAGCTGTCTCCAATGTTAAGATAAGATAAGATAATGCTTTATTATCACAGCGGGAACTTTTTCTTGGCTGTACGGGACCGTAAAAACACATGCAGGTATACATATAACATTTAAATTATATATTACTCTCATTAAAATTCAATATGGAAAGAGAAGTAAAGCTGACAAAATGTACTAGTCACATCAGATGCATTATTTAACCACATGCAGGAATTTATTTACAAGATCTTTGGAGTTCTATATAGATATATACTCGAAAGAGCAAGTTATATATAGATACATACTCTAAAGAGCAAGTTATATATAGATACATACTCTAAAGAGCTATACACCTGCTAGATGTTCTGATGTGTGTTAGTTAATGTTATTGAAATGGGTGGCACCTTGCTGATATCGGCTGCTCATCAAAATATTTAAAATAATGAAATCGAAGAAATTGACATTTTTCCACCTGTTGGGAAATTTTTATCACATTTTTTTTAAAAGGCTCAACATTTTTTATGTCCATTTAAAAACACGTTTCTGTGCGGATTTTACGGAAAACCATCTATCGTCCTGATCTCTCACCTTTCTTTTTTGTGTTTGTTACTCTCTTGTAACACCTCTAATCTTCGGCACTTATATGACCTTATTGTGTTGCAAGTGCCATAAAACTCTTACTAAAACTGAGTCGCCACTTGTTTTTCTCCTTTCAAATTTTATTTTTCTGTTTCCCCCAGGCGCCTCAGTCCAGAGCAGACAGTTGGAGTGTGTGATGTCGTCCACACCCTGTGGTTCACGTTGGCCTCGGGTCAGGTCAGCTCAGGGACCCCCGCGAGTTCTGGGACATTGTCACAAGCCAAGGCTCAACCCAGACACACGTCGACCGTGGCTGGGAAACCTTTGAAGAGGAAGACCGAGCGTGGCACGTCGGAGGGGGAGAGGGAGGAGGGTGAGGGCGAAGAGAGTGAGGATGAGGCGAGTGAGGATGAGGAGCCCATGGAGGAGGAGACGGGAGACAGCGGCCTGGAAGCTGAGCCTGTTTCCCGAGACGAGACAGCACACAAAGGGAGGCCATCCGTCCCGCGGGCAACTCTGCTGGAGATGGGCTTGATCGTCAAGAGTTGTCTGCCTTACTTAAGGTCAGAGTTTTGTTTGGTTGGTTGGAATTTAGCGGCAGTCTAGACACAGATATAAGTTATTTGGAAAGGTATTCGTTGTGTCCTGTGACAATTTGACGTGTGTGTTTGTGTGTCCAGGTCCCGTCGTAAATCCTGTGTCAGAGATGGTTTGACCCCCGGGGCAGTGTCACTGATTGAAGTGTCTTTCACCCCCCGGGGCGGTGCCACTGACTGTAGTGTCTTTAGGCCATTCCCAAAGGGGGGACATTTCTCGTTCAAGCACAGTAGAATTGTAAATGGGCTGATTCATCATGTCACACTCATAACTGTGCCTGATCTGCAACAGGAAACTGCTGCTTTTTCTTTCCTAATCCTTACTATCGTCATTTGTCCTCTACTTCTTTTGTATGTTTGTCACTCTCTTGTGACCTGCTATTTCCATGGTGAGTCTGATTCCCTGTAAGGACTTCTCTGTTGTCATCCACCCCTTGGCGCTCATTTGACCTTATGCAGTTACAAGCGCCGTTAAAAACTCTACTAAAAAAAACAGAGATGGTTTTTCTTAGCTTATTTCCAGTGCATATTGCCCATTTGACGCATTTGATCCATTTGATATAGTTGGGGGCTGGCCAGGATTTTCCTTCATGGAAGGCAAAATCTGCTATTTTGGTACAGTTTGATCAAATCCTCCAATTGTGCCAAATTGGTAGCTTTAGATCTACCCTTCCATGGAGCTTGAAGATGGTCTAACAAAAGTTAAGTTTGACGTTGAAATGTGTGTGGTTTTGTTTGTTTACTTTAATCTGTTGCACCTTCATGTTGAGGGCATATCTGTTTACGTGAATGTTGGACATGTCCGAATGATGATGAATTTGTCCGAATAGATGATGGACTGTACAATGAACTCATACTTACTCTCACTCTCTCTCTTCCTGTGCCGTCAGGTACATAAGACGGGGAGTAGTCGACACCACGCTTGCGTAATGAACTCATTCTTATTTTTTTCCAAATCTCTTACTGGGGGGCTCTCGTGGCCTAGAGGTTAAGGTGTTTGCCTCTCATTCAAAGGTCCCAGGTTCAAATTCAAGTAGCGACTGAAAAATTTTCTTCTCTAAAATGACCTCCTTTCACCTCCGTTACTGCTCTCTAGCAATGTTCTGTCGTCTGCTTTCGTCTCCACTTTCTGCCCCCACTCCCTCACACCTCCTTTGCCCCCTCCTCTGGGCTTCTTGGCTCCTTCTTACTGCTGTCTTTCAGTCACACCCCTGATCTTCTGGTGGGAAAAATCTACACCTAACCTTCTCGGATAAGGGCAAAAAAACTTGGAGGTCCCGTGTGCAACAAAATTTATAAGAGTAGGCTTCGGCCGCCACCCGGGCTAAAGTCAAAATTTCCTACCAACTGAAAATGTTTAATGTGTCCCATGCGCTCATATAACCTTCTGCAGTTGCGAGCGCCATAAAACTCTTACCAAAACAAAAAAAAACAACAAAAAAAAAGATCTCTTCCACTCACACGTCTGCCTCTCATCCACAGACATCTACCAGCTTGTGGCGTGTTCAAGATTCTGCAGGTGATGGAGTCTCTCGTCTCTGTAGAGCAGTCGTATTTGATGAAGGACAAGAATATCACCTCAAAGACAGCGTCAGAAAATCCCCGCCTGCTGCGGAGCTGTATCTTCACCTTGAGTGAGAGGGACTCCTTCCTGTTGGCTCATGCCGTCTGCAAGTCTGTCGGAGATGTGCAGCTTACCAAGGAATTAGAGGAAACCCTCCGTGAGAAACGCTTCCTTTCTGATTTTCAGACGTCGGGGAAAGGAATTCGTGAAAGTGCCGCTGGATCCAAGAAATCTCTGACTTCAGCAGCAGCGTTAGATACAAGTGTGAGAGACTCAGACGAGACTGTTGTGACTGATACTGATAAGACTGTTCTAGATGAAGATGTTGAAGGACTTCCAAATCCCGACGGTAGCGACGTGTACGCTGTGTCCGCTATGAAAGATCTGTTGGTCAGAGTCTTAAATGTCACTAGAGGGTTCAGCGGTGTTCAAATTAGGGGGAAGTCTGAACAAAGGAAATAAGCGTGGAGGAAGGAAATTACATGTAATTTTGGAATTGTCCAAGACGTTCACGGGTTGTCAAGGAGAAAAAGTGGTTGTCTTGGACGGGTGGGTGTCTCGGACATTGTCGTTACGATGTAGGGAAAACATAAAAGGGGAAGTGAGAAGTGACCGTTTGTTCTAATGTGATTGTCTGAGACAGATGGCCGTTAGAGCAGCTTCGACTCTGTGTGTGAAACTACATTTGTTAATTTGGCCTGTGACTTTGTCTGCTAATGAAATATACATACATATGTGGTACTGTGTAAATGGATTTCTTATTTCAAGTTTTGTGAATAAGACGTTTTTGAATCACTGGATAGTAGCGACTGGCTTGTTTGGGAGAAATGGTGTATAACATAGACTCATGATGTACCGGTATATATATATAACATGATGTATGTTATATAACATAGATACGTTATGTATATATATATAACGTGATGTATGTTATATAACATAGACACATGATGTACCAGTATATATATTACGTGATATATGTTATATAACATAGATACGTGATGTATGATGTCATGTTGTGATTTTAGTTGTGAGAGAAAGTTGCGGTCCTAATTTGTTGTCAGCATGCTTTGAATGGATTGTGATTGTTTGAATAAAATAAAGATGATAAAAATGTAAACTTTGCAACTGAGAGTTATTTTTGCCTCGGCAAATTCATGGAAAAAAGTATTGTGGATGTCCTGTATACTTTCTTGAAACCTCCGACTCTCTTTACAATTTTCAGTGGGTTTTTTCATAAAAATTGTTTGACTTTAGACCATGTCATTAAGAAAATTTTGTTTTGGGGTGTTTTCGTCCAAAAGAAACATGTTGCTGCAATATTTTTCTATTTTAGAAAAGGCCTGCAATAATACAATTACAATTGAAACTGATCAAAAAGTCTACCCTTTGTTGAGGAGATAAGTGGTTGTCATTGGCACAGTGGTTAGGCTACCGTACTCATAATCGTGAGGTTGCGGGTTCGGGGGTTCGAGCCGTGGGCCCGACGTTGTGTCCTTGGGAAAGGCACTTTACACAAATTTTCCTCACTTCACCCAGGTGGGAATGGGTACCCAGCTGTTAACAATGAAAGGTCTTGTCAGTTTGTTACTGTTTGAGCACTTAACCAGCTGCTTGCACTGTATGCTTCCCAGGAGCTGAGAATGTTTCTGAGTGTTCTATGGTCTGCTGGGGTAATAATATAGTGTAAAGCACATAGAGCTTGCTTTCGAGTGGGGACATGCGCTATAAAAATGCTTTTTATTATTATTATTATTATTATTATTATAATAATTATTATTATTATTATTTTTATTATTATTATTATTATTATTTTTATTATTGTCATAGGCAGGGGGATGTCTGGAAAAGTGTCATGAGTAGAAAGAAATAGCTCAAGGGAAGAACTAGGAAGTGGCAGTTTGTTCAGGCTCATCGTCTTGGACGGGCGGCCATAAGACTAATCAGAGCAGGTCCTATTGTACATAGAAACGTACTATTTTGCAAGACTTGCATGACTTGGGCTTACCTATATAAATCTTAAATTTATCCAGAATTGTCTGTAACATTAGATTCTAGAATGTCTGTAACATTAGATTCTAGATTGCTTTTAGCTAATGTGAATCATCTTTCTCTTGTTCACCTTGTTCACGTACACATGAAAAAATAGTGCGTGCCCCCCCCCCCCCCCCCCCTACACCTTTCATTTCTAAAGCGACATTTAACTCCATCTCGACAACTCCTCAAAGACAGGATTTTGTGGTGTAGTTGTTGAGGGCTTTGCTGTCACACAAAGGAGAAAGGAGAACTGAGTTTGATTCTGATGTGAGAAGCAGTTTTATTGAGTATTTCCCCCGTCTTTCTTCCGGGATGTTGTATCCCTCTCCTGCCCTGGCTGACATATGTTATTCCTTTTAATTTGTGGGTGGTTGGCGGGTGCTCTGGTGTGGTTTGCTTCTTCTTTCCTATCAAACAATTATCATCTTTATCTCTCCTCCTTTTTTGTGTTTGTTACTCTCTTGTAACACCTCTAATCTTCTGCACTTATTTGACCTTATATTGTGTTGCAAGTGCCGTAAAACTCTTACTATAACTAAAAACCTTTTTATTTAATTTAACTTTTAAAAATCTCATCTGCACATATTTTTTTCTTTTGCACACGTGTGTGCCTCGGCTACGGCTAGACAGGGACTACCCCCTAAACAATCCAACGACCCATGCTGGTTTCCTGGCTGCTATCTTTCACAAACAACTGGCCTCTCTTCAACCTAGTAAATGATAACCCGACATGGTATATTCGACACTTTACCTCTAGAACTGCACTACAGCTTATTACGGTGCTGCTTTATTGAAAACACTTCTGTTTATTGCATCTCATAAATCTGATTTGAGCAATTATGATACACTTGTCCCACTGCATGGTAGACTAAAAAAAGACTAAACATTTGGATCTACGTTTTGTGTGGAAAGGTTGATTTCACAAAATGGAAAACGATGTGCACAACACTACATAATAGAATTAGAATGTAAATAGTCAGCTGTTGAAATGAAATATTATATGAAGAGAATTCCTATGATTTGGAACAAACCAAATCAAACTTTTTTGGAAATGAAAAAAAAAAACTCACTCTTTAACACTTTGCCATCACAAGGCTCATGATATAGTAAGTCTGCTTAAATTGTACGTTGTTAATCTGAAAACAGAGGTTAACGGAAAGAAAATAGAATCCCTTATCTTTTTCTTCACTATTCGAGCAATTTCTCTCTACCGAAAGCACGGCTAAACAAGAAGGTCCGTCGATCCCACATATTTCAGTTTAAGTAGTTCACTATGAGGTTTTTCAGTTTTTGATGAAATCCTTTATGGATGGAAATCTATTATTCCCTGGCAGTTGGTGGATAAAGAAAACGTTGGAGAAGGAAAGAAACAAACATAACAATGACCATGAAACGGGGTAACAAACTACAAAAATTGGGAGGAGTTTCGCTAACAAGGGACATAAATCTGCTATCACAAATGTCAGGTTTTATTTGAATGGATTACGTCTCTTCCTATGCCTTATATTGCCAAATCGTCTTGGCCTGCGAGTATTTGTTGATATGTTCCAGGGGAAACTTTTTGTCTGTAAAAGGATTACACTAAAATATGTTTTAATTTTGTATTTTTTCAACACCAGGCAGTATATTGTTAAAATGTTTACTTTTTAATTGCTTATATAACTCAAGAAAGCCATAAGTATGCTTGAGGATAAATAAATGGTGTGAAAAATCTGGCAGAGTACGGACATGGCCGACTGCAAGATTCCCGTTTGTTTACGTTGACCATGGAGAACGGTGCAGGCAACGAAAAACGTCCCAGTGATCTGTCGCATGTCGCAATGGGTAGCAACATGAACCTTTTTGAGGGCCGTGGAGTGGACCCTAAGAGCAAGAGATTTCCTCACTGTATTGTTTGGACTCCCATCCCATGTTTGACGTGAGTACGGAAGTCGTATGGTAGTATGGTGTTGAAAATCAATTAAAAATCTTGTGACACTTTAGTTGACACTGACAGTGAGTAGTGAGTAGCCTACCACCGAGTGATGTTGTAGACAGTTCAGTAACAATAAAAATAACAATTTAATAACACTTTTAACATTTAATCTTTATTGATTATCATAGATTTGTCATCGTTATGGCATGTAAGTAACACATGAAACAGGCAAAATTGGAAGGCGCTTTTTCGGTTGTTCTCACCCCCCAAGCCTAAGCCCAATAACAATGATTGTTTGCCTATTTTCCTGTAAACGCTTCTTTTGTAACAGTAAATGGCACGAAATAAATGGTTCACTTTCCAACTTGGCAATAGGCTAATGTTGTCAATGAACGGTTGGTCAAGTTGTACTTCCACTTCCAAAGTCTAAAACAACAATGTCGACTGTTGGACGACTGTCAATTTCCCAGACGCACTTCATGATTGCAATAATTCACAACACAAGATCTAGATCTAGATTCTAGATCTTGGCCTGGGCGTAGTGATACGAGTGGCAGTAGAAAGGTTGCAGAAAGAGTCAGGATAAAAGGCGAGAGGAGGCCGCGGGTGAGGGAAAATAGTGGAGATGAAAGCAGATGACAGAACAGGACAAGAGAACAGGAAAGGAGGTGAAAAGTAGAAGATTTTTTAGACGACAATTTTGTCACCAGTCTCGGAATTTGATCCCTGGACCTTTTGAATGAGAGGCGAACACTATACCTCTAGATCCCAAGAGCTCCCCCTCCCGTGCTCTTATACAATCTTCTCTCTACAGTGTTTTTAAAAAAAATAATTTGTATTCTATCTCTATCTAACTTTCGTGTAGAAATAACAGCAATGCAAGTCTATACAATGAAATTTGAAACACATGATCTGGCAAGGGAAAACTGTATACATTTATGATTAATGGTGCTTCTTGCTTGAAAGCAGGGAAGCACTATTTCATTCATGAGAATACTGTATTATAATAGCTGTTCTGTTCCTATACTGCAGATGGCTGTTTCCATTTATTGGACATATGGGTATTTGCACCACATCAGGAGTGATCAGGGATTTTGCAGGCCCATATTTTGTTTCGGTAAGTTGGCTGTGAAACATTCCTTCCTCGTTGAATGAGAATGCTTCGTATCAGTGCTTGTAAAGGGGAGACAGTCATACTAGATAAACTAAATAATTTGATAGTTGTTTCAGTATTCACTTTGAAGGAAACCAAGTGTGTTTCAAGTTTGGTGCATATATATGGTCGCTTTTAATTCAAGTCAAGTGGGCTAACCCACATTTCACGGGTTTCCAGAAATCTTGACCTACCCCAAAAGTGGGCATTGCCCTGCCTATAGGAGAAGATTGGTTTCATTGGTGTGTGTATATTTGTTTGATTATAGAGAAAACTCTCCTTGTCTTTTTTAAAGAAACTGAATAAGGATCCAAAAACTTAACCTTCGATTTTTTCAACACTCCATTTTTCGGGATAGCCCCCTTGTGCTTAAAAGCGACCATTTATGGTTTATCATCTGACAGGTAAACATTTTTTAACATATCCTACCATATTTGGGAGGATAAAGGTTCTAAAGAAAAATGCTTCCTGGGAAACCAAAAATGTTTGTAAGTGTTCTGGGGTCTGCTGGGGTAAGAATACATGTTGTTGTACACACTCTTTCTCTCCGGCTCACCACTTGAAGTGATGAACCAGAAAACCCCCTTTAAAAGTTAACCTTACCTACGCATCGCCATGCTGAGTGACATTCTGACAAATTACTTCTTCTCTATTTCACTGCTCATAATCCTTTCTAGTCACATTCTACATCCACACACGTTTCCTGTTCTTGTCTGTTCATTTTGCAATATTTTGAGGGGTCAGCCTCACATTTTGGTCAATATTTGTCAAAAGTTATTTTTTTGGTATTTTGTAAACACACATCGAGAATCTACAAAGATGTCAAGTAGAGATGCACAAAAAGTTTTTTGGTTTTTTTAAAATCTGGTTACTGAACAGTGCTTTTCTTATATTATATTATATATATATATATATATATATATATATATATATATATATGTAAGTATATATATATATATATATATATATATATATATATATATGTGTGTGTGTAAGTACATATATACAGAGCTGGTAGTAACGGAGTACAAGTACTCTGGTACTTGTACTTATGTTACAATTTTCGGTACTTTTACTGTACTCCGGTACATTTTTGAAACCAGTACTTATACTGTACTCCGATACTTTTTATAAAAGTACTTTTGAGTACTTTTAAAGTACATTTTGAGTACTTTGGTAGCTTAATGAAAGGGTAAGTGCAGGCATTTCTGATCATAATTTACGGAACAAAAACCCGATCAACTGCCAAGAGTTAAAAGTTGAGATCAAAGAACGGCCCGTCGCCTCAAAGATCAGCCACTATCGTGAATGTGATCACAAACGTTGTAAAACTCCTGAAACGGTACAGTGTGAACTGACCGATGCGTTTCTTTTCCCCAAACATCGCACTCGCATCTGACCTCACCACCTAAACTTACATCACTCCCTGGGTGGGTAGGGCCTACAAGTTCGCTCCAGGCGGGATCACATCAAACTGTGAACTCTTCCCTGACCATTGAAAGCAGTTTTTCCCGAATTTGCGAGACAACCTGAATTTTAATTAGTGTGGTCACATCGTAATGGTGCGTAACGACAAAGGAGATTGGGGGGGGTGGGGGGGGGCTCAATCAGAGATGGAAAGCTAAAATTGTTGGACAGGTAAAGGGGAGGGGCAACTGGATAAACGTAGATAACGATCTCAAGACTCACGATAGGCTAATTATGAGTGTGTATATATTATATTATTATTTATGGCATGCCTCATGCCACTGTGATTGGTCATCAAGGTTGACCACTCTTTGCTTGCCATATGTCATAAATCCACCCAGGGGTCACGTCAGTTCATGGGTCACTGTAGATTCTTCCTTGGCTTCGTTGGCTAAGATCCCATATTTTCCTTACTTCCGAGCACTGGGATCTTAGGCGGAGACTACTGCAGTAGAGAATCTTTGGTTACACTTCACTTACTAGACTCTAGGAAACTACATGTATTTTGGTTTGCCGTTGGCGCCGTGGACAACACAGTGTGACCAAAATCTGTCAGACCACTATAATCAATTGAAACTGAAACTGTGTTCTCAATGTGTATCTAACAATTTTTAGGCTGCCTAAATTTCTTTTAAACTTTTTTTTGGGTGGTTTTTGCTTAAGGCTACATTGATTCCTTGAGGATTTGTTAATGAAGAATTCAATGCACTTTTCCATTTCTATGCGGGCTATTTTCATCAATTTTATGTTTTCTTAAGAGCAACTTTGTATCTACATTTTTCAATTTGGATACTCTTTCTGTAGAACTTTCCGACCTCTAGGACTGACTTACATTTGATCACATTGTCTTGCTCAAACAAGTTCTATTCATAATATCACTTACCCACTAGTTGCGTCTGTTCGTTTGGGTTGTTTTTTGTTCAACTTCACGGACCATTTCCACCGTTCAGTGCGTACATTGTATATTCAAATGCTTTGTATACTGTTTACATTTTTAGTAATAAATAGCCTAATTTGTCAAATATACTGGATAAGTTATAAAATATGAAGTTTTGCATAAGCGCTGAAGTGTAAAATATATATATATATATATATATATATATATATATATATATATATATATACACATATACATATATATTTTTTTTTTTTTAATTTATATATATAAATATATATTTATTTATTTATTTATTTATATATATAAATATATATATATATTTATTTATTTATATAAATATATATATATATATTTATTTATTTATATATATAAATATTTATTTATTTATTTATTTATATATTTATATATATATATAAATATATATATTTATTTATTTATTTATATATATAAATATATATTATTACTCTTTCAGGAAGATGACATGGCGTTTGGGCAGCCCGTGAAGTAAGTTGATCTGATTGTTCAGGGACGTTTGTTTGGTTTATGGATCTGTCTGGGTGAGAAAAGTCCTGGGGAAATAAATGGTGGAGATATTGAAAGGTGCAACAGATGGGTGTTAAGATTATGCCTTGCTTATAATATTGTAATTTGAATTTAATCTATTTTGACAAGAAGTCAAAGGCTCTATCTATTCTGTTTGTGATGATTTATTCATTTTTGCTTTTATTAATTTATAACAGCTTGGTTTTTTTCATGTAATGAGACTGAACTGAAGTTGGACCCAATTTTTCAGTAGCATTACTGTCCAGGATGTATGTACTGACAATGTGTGTGCAGGTGTAGTTGGTCACAGTTCGTATCTTCAATGTTTGAAAGATCTTGTCAGTATGTTAGTGTTTCAGCGCCTTTAAATGGCTGCTTGCACTGTATGCTTCCCAGGAAGTGGAGGTTGTTTCAGAGTGCTCTCAGGTCTGTTGAGGTAATAGTATAGATTGTGAAGCGCATAAAGCTTGCTGTTGACCCGGGGGGGGGGGGGGGGGTTGCGCTTTACAAATGCTATCTATTATTATTTATGATGTGATGGTCTCTTATCGCAGGTACTGGCAACTGGATGTCTCTAAGGCGATCAACGGCAAAGATTCCTGGGATAGGTCAGTTGCGAAAGCGTCGGAGGAATATAATCACAGAATGGTGAGCTTTATGTCGTTTACAAAATATACTCTGTAGGGTTAAAAGTTCTCTATCCCTTCTGTTCCGTGCATCATTCATCGGGCTGACTCAGATTGCTCATGTGTAATAAATTCCAGATATATGTTTTTTTATACATAAATATATTTGTATATATATGACATTATATTGCGAAAAATCACTGTATCAAGCTCCAAGATGTAAATGTGGGTGGTTGGTGGGTGCTCTGGTGTGGTTTGCTTCTTCTTTCCTATCTAACATGTATCGTCCTTATCTCTTCTTTTTTATGTTTGTTACTCTCTTGTATCACCTCTAATCTTCGGCTCTTATATGACCTTATTGTGTTGCAAGTTCCGTAAACCTCTTACTAAAACTAAACTGTTTTATTCCCTTCTCTGCTGTGTGTCAGCATAACCTGTGCTGCGACAACTGCCACTCCCACGTGGCCATGGCCTTGAACCTGATGAACTACAAGGGCAGCTCCCGCTGGAACATGGTCAACCTGTGCTTCCTCATGATGGTACATTCCCGATACATCAGGTGAGGGGGAGATTTCCTCTTTGGAAAGTGGGGGCACGGAGTTCCCCACATCGTATGGATACGAGAGTAAAACACGACGTACAGATAGGGTTAAATAAGCTAATAGTGTTTATAGGGGCCAGAAACCAGGAGACCCCACCTCCTTCAATCGCAAATATCTCGACTTCTATTCAAGATAAATGAACATTTTTTTAATCGAAAGCGAGGCAAATGAACAACCTTTAAGGTGGTACCAATAACTCCATAATATGCCCAAAAGTTGACGAGCGCCTGATTCCACCGTGTCGTGACCCGTGACATTTGCTTCTTTTTCTCCACAGTGTTTGTGGCTTTCTCAAGACGTGGTTACCTTTCCTCCTTATGGTCGGCGTCATTATAACAGTCGTGCTGGTGGCGTTTTGACGTCGTGTCCACCGCACAGGGTCCGGCCATAGCCGTGGAACGCACCGGGAGCTGTCGTAGCGAGGAATGAGGAACGAGGAATGAGCTGGCCGCAGCTCAATGTGGACCCATGTTGGTGTATGCAGGTGAAGGCTGCGGGAATTTCAGTGTTGCGTTCAGCTCTCTCGTTACTACTAATTGTGAGACGTACTGACAGAATGAGTTACTTCTCTGATTTTTTAGCCCTATAGACATACAAATGCGACAAATTTATAAGTGTTGAGTTTTTACAATTTTTTTAGTATGAAAATATAAAAAGACAAGTTAAACTTGAAGGAAATAGCATCAGTTGGCTATTACAGATTTGACGCGTGTGCCGATTTTCAGCAGATATCTCTTTTGGTGTATTGCGAGAAGTAGCTCAGTCTGTCAACATGTCTAACCGATGGTCTGTGAAGGTCGGGCTGCCTCACTGGTCAGTTTCCACCTGGGACGGGTGTGATTCCTACTGACTCTCTGATGTGGTCTTTGGCGTGAAGGACATTTCTACATAAATGTTGGTCACCTTGATAATTCATTCAGAAACAGGAGCAATATTGGAAAACTGAGATCATCTCTTGCCCTCACAGTACAGAAAGTGGATTGTTGGCGGGTGCTCTGGTGTGGTTTGCTCCTTCTTTCCCCCCATCAAGCATCCTGTCATCCTTATTTCTTTGTTACATTTTTTTGGTTGTATTCTACTCTTCAGCAACACGTAACTTCGACACTGACTCGTATATGACCTATTTATTTGCAAGTGCTGTAAAACAAAACTTGTTCTCAAACTAAACCAACTGCATGGAAATAGTGAGTGACCATCAGTTGTACTGTGTGATGATGTTGCTCTGTGGTGTGAAGGGTGAGTAGGAGAAAACCGGGGGGTTAGAACAGCAGTGCAGGTAAAGACTGAGAAAAACTCCAAAACCATCTGACTGTCTTCTCGCACCAGTCACTTTAACCACTGCCTCATTTTGACTGCTCAACCGATCACTTTAACCACTGCCTCATTTTGACTGCTCCACCGATCACTTTAACCACAGCTTCATTTTGACTGCTCGGTGTATGACTCAGTCGTAAGTCACTTTTCAAAATGGCGTGTGTCTGAGTAATACACAAAGCTGTCGAATAGTCTTTCCTACAGTGCATTAACCAATGCCTGCTTGTCGAGCGAACTGTTCAAGTTATGTTTCATCTCATGTTCTTGGAAATTCTCTAAAACCTTATAGCCTTGATTATTGCAGAAGAATTTCTCAATATTATATTAGACAAAGAATCATGATTGGAAATTCTATGGGTGAAATTAATTTGAAGCTTATTCTGTCGAATGATAGATTTCATGCTGTTCAGATTGATCACTTATACATTTTTTTAAAACCGTTTTGTTTTTACTGTAAATGTCAAAACCCCAACGTTTAAAAAGTATATCTGTTATTCTTCTTTACATAAAGTTTTTTGTGCTATGTATTTGACTGGTACAACAATTCTGTGATTGCCACCATCTTCTGGTAACCTTCAGCTGACGTTTTTTGTGTACAATTTTTCCTTGATTTCTTTGAGACCCCTGCTCATGTGTGTTTGTGTCTGTTGATGAGCAGATGGTCGAAAGTAGATGGTCTAAAGGCATTTGTGTCAGGACACTAGTGGAATCAGGCGCTCGTCTATTTTGGGGCATGTGGAATATAAATTGGTGTCGTCTTAAAGTTTGTTCATTTGTCTCGCTTTTGATATTTTAAAAATCCATTTATCTTAAATAGAAGTCGAGATATTTGCGATTGAAGGAGGTGGGGTCGCCTGGTTTAAGAGGTAACATTTTTATCGAGAAAATGGCCGCCAAAGTTTGGTGACTTCCATAGCTAAAGAGTCCTTGGAAACTGCAAATTTAAATTTTTTGTGCCTTTAATCAACGTTTTTCCATAAAATCCACACATAAAAGTGTTTTTGAATTGACATACAAGGTGATGAACCAACAAAACAAAAATTCGGAAAAAATTTCCAAACTGGCCGAAAAATGCAGATTTCTCGGGTAACTTTACTTTGACGAGGGCCTGATTTCACCACGGTGCCTCACATTTTTGGCAGGTCCATGTTTTTTTCCTGTCAACCTGGGCTTTCTTTCCTGAGGTGCTGCCATTTCCCCACCATGCATGATTGACTGTAAATTCAAACTGAAATCAAATGAGAAAGCTGGGAAATTAAAACTGGGCGACAGAAAATAACCTAGTACCAAAAATATTCTTCACAGTCGAGTCCTTTATGTGATAATATTGCTGATTGGTTAGGGTAATTTAGTCTTAAAGCCTGTGCATTTCTCTTCATTTCTTTTTCCTTCCTGTCTTCTTTAAAAAGAAAAAAAATCACCAGGAAAATGGTTGCAAAATAATTTTTTAAAAGCCAGAAAAAGAAAAAAGGAATTTTTTCTCCCTGATTACTGGAAACCCTGTAAATTGGTTGCTTTTTTAATGGTGTATATTGTCTCAAAACTGGACTTTTAAAAATCATACAGGTGTATATAATATACAATATATTTATTTTTTAAATGCCTGTTGTGATTTTCAAGAGTTCTGTGGTATTTGGGGAGACTTTCATAGGACTGGATTCCTTGTTGAAGAAAGTAAGCATTTTGTATCTCTGGGAAGCACGTTTATGATGTATAACTGTGTGTTCAATATTTTCTTACAGTCAGTGAAACCCTGCTTTGTCCTGGGTTTAGACATTTATTTGTCTTGTTTAGTCATCTGTAACTTTCCGAAACAGTGGGTGGTTGGTGGGTGCTCTGGTGTGGTTTGCTTCTTCCTTCCTATCAAACATCTATCGTCCTATTATCTCCTTCTCCTTTTTTGTGTTTATTACTCCCTTGTAACACTTCAATCTTCAGCACTTATATGCCCTATCCGCGTTGTGAGTGCTGCAAAACTCCTACTACAACAAACTAAAACATTTCCAAAAGGCCATACATGTTTTATGTTTTCAAACCAGATTGTGTACACATATTGTTATGTGTAGGTGGTTCCTCTAAGTGCAGCTGTTACCGGTACCGTAAATGTTGTATCAACAGAAAGAAACCTTGTCTCCTCAGATTTTTCTATACTTGTATACATAATGATGCTGATTTTTGTGGACTGAGAGAGACTTTTCATCAACAACCTTCTGATATAACTTGATTTTAAAAAACCTTTGTATCTTTTTTTTTCTATTAAACGATATTGATTAATCCATTCTGAAGCAGTTGTGGTCTTCAAATGTGCCGTTTGTATGTTTGTATGTGTCGTATACTTCATTCAGTGATGAACGTTTTTATATTATTACCTCATGTGTGCATGTTCAAGATTGTTGTTATTTTGTTTCTTTTCAATAAATCATCTTAATAAACCAAATTCATTTTTATTTTTAAACTTCATTTTTGATTCCACATTCCTTTGTCCATGTTCCTTTGTACATAACGAGTTCTGAAGTAATGAATTGTAATGGTAAATGTTTTACACCCCTAGCTACACAAAGTGGATCAAATAGGAGGCGGGCTGAGTTGATTCTGTCTGTCAGGGCCAACAGAGGCAGAGTGGGGTACAACATCACAACAAACAGACGCAGATGGTGGGTGGTTGGCGGGTGGTCTGGTGTGGTTTGCTTCTTCTTTCCTATGAAATATCTATTGTCCTTATCTCCCCTTCTTCTTTTTTCTGTTTGTTACTCTCTTGTCACCTCTGATCTTCTGGCACTCGTATGACCGCATGCTGGTGCGAGCGCCGTAAACCTCTACTAAAACTAACTAAGACGCAGATGCTGGATGAGAAATTCCCCCCACTTGTGAATCAAACACATCTTCTGTTTATATATACAGTGGCTAGCAGCCAACAGACTAACCATTACCCCCCAGACACTGCTCCCAAGCCCCTGACTTATGGGTCACTCAGATGACCTTATGCAGTTGCGAGCGCCGTAAAAACTCTACTAAACTGACCTATGGCTGCCTACTGTACACTGGAGTGTTTGTAAACACTTTGCCGTCACATCTCGCAGATCGGCGATGTTTACCACCCAGCTTCTTTGGATTTTCCCCCAAATGTCTTTGCTTTTGATGGCAAGGGTTTTTACTGTATGAGCCTTGAGATGGCAAAGTGTTTCAAGAAGCTCCTATACTCATTGTAGTAATTTCCCAAACTGGAAAAAAGTCCCCGTTTTCTCCGTGACACAGTGAAGTGCCTTACTGGGTGGTTGACGGGTGCTCTGGTGTGATTTGCTCCTTCTTTCTTATCCATTCTAACAGCTATCGTCCTTATCTCCCCTCCTATTTTATGTTTGTTACTCTCTTGTAACACCCCTAATCTTCGGCACTTTTATGTCTTTATTGTGTTGCAAGTACCGTAAAACGCTTTCTAAAATTAAACATTGCATCTTTGACAGCGATTTCTGAGACTGAATGCCTTATTTGTATGAGATTGTTATGGTCCCAGGAAAAAAACAACTATGATTTTCAAAACAGCAGCCAATAATTATTAGTATTAGATTGTTATTGTCCAAGGAAAAAAAAAAACTATCTTACTGTGGATGAGCTAGAAAATATTTGGGAAGTACTAAAAAATACTAGGGATGAACTAGAAAATATTAGGATTGAGCTAGAAAAATACTCTTTTAATGAACTACATAACATACTGGGGGGTGAGCTAGAAAATATTGGTATTGAGTTAGAAAATGTTGCAGATGAGCTAAAAAATATTAGGGAATATTTTGGGTAAGCCAGGAAGTATTGGGGATCGGCTAGAAAAAAAAAAATTGTTTATGAGACTAAAAAAAAAAAAACTTGGGGAAGAGCTAAAAAGTATAGGGGATATGATTAAAAAATGCTAGGGATGAGCTAATAAAAAAGTTGGAAATGAACTAGAAAATATTTGGGATGATCTAGAAAATATTTGGGATAAAGCGAAAAATATTAGTGATGAGATTAAAAATACTGTGATTGAGCTAGAAAATAGTGGGGATGAGCTAGAAAAGGTCAAAATTGAGCAAGAAAACAATGGGGATGAGCTAGAAAATATTAAGTTTTAGCAAGAAAATACTCGGGATGAACTACAAAATACTGAAGATGAGCTAAAAAATACTGGGGATGAGCTAAAAAATGGGATAAAGTAGACAATATTTGTGATGAGCTAGAAAATACTGGCGATAAGCTGAAAAATGTTAAAATTTAGCTATAATATACTGGGGATGAGCTACAAAATACTGAGGATGAGCGAAAAAATAGTGGGGATGAGCTAGAAAATACTGGAGATGATCTAGAAAATATTGAGTGTTGAGCTAAAAAATACTGGGATGTGCTATAAAATACTGGGGACGAGCTACAAAATATTTGGGATGAGCTACAAAATATTTGGGACGTACTAAAAAATACTAAGGATGAACTAGAAAATATTAAGATTCAGCTAGAAAAATACTCCGGATGAGCTATAAAATACTGGGGGGTGAGCTAGAAAATATTTGGGTTGAGCTAGAAAATGTTGGAGATGAGCTAAAAAATATCAGGGAATATTTGGGGTAAGCCAGGAGATATTGGAGATCGGCTAGAAAAAGCTACAAATATTGTTTATGAGATTTTTTTAAAACCCAACTATTGGGGATGTGATAAAAAATATTGGGGATATGATTAAAAAATACTAGAGATGAGCTTTAACAAAAATTGGAAATGAACTAGAAAATATTTCGGATGATCTAGAAAATATTTTGAATAACTTATAAAATATTAGGGATGAGCGAGAAAATACTGTCATTGAGCTAGAAAATAGTGGGGATGAGCTAGAGAATATTATTGTTGAGCTAGAAAATATTGTTGAAGAGATTTTTTTTTAAAATATATTTTGCATGAGCTAAAAATAAAAATATTG